TAGCCAGAACAAAACCGTTTTCTCATGGACTCGTAAACAATTATATCGATGTCTTTACATAACAATTATTCTTATTATTATTCTTTATGTAATGGAGTTGTGATGGTCAATAAACGTGTGACCGGATTAAAATAATTTATGCAGTGATATAAAGGTCGCATAATTCTGCTACTCGCGCATACCAAGTACACCTGACCTATATTTGTTTCAACGACACCTCTTCTTCAATGAATTTGAGTTTAACTTCCAGCTAAATACGTCAAAGGCCTGTATTAATTTTATTTGTGATAAAATTTCAGGACAGGATGAGCTGATGGAATATAAGAATAAGTCTCCAATTTACTGGCTATTATTCTACTAATTAAAAGATAAACCTATGATTATTTAGAATGGTGAAGTCAAGCACACATAAGTCTAAGGAAGAACATTGAAGTTAACTCGTGTCAAGTGGGTTAACCTTGTGTTTTTTGGCAACCTTGATTGGTTCATTGTTTGAAAAAGAAAGACAGTAATTTTTAAAGAAATAACTTTCCTGCAATTGTTTAAAAAGAACAAGTCAAGAAATTTTTATATTCTTCTCAAATTGTGTTTTAATTTTTTATTTCTCCTTCCTAAACCTATGACTTTCTGTACTGCAGTATCCTTTAACAATGCCCCACTTATTGCTGTTGAACAAATCAGATACCTAGTACTCCACCGGGACAAACATCTAACTTGAAATCCTCATACGAGAATGAAACGACAAGAAACCACTCGCCGTTTTTAACTACTTCAGCACTTACTAGACAAATGCTCTAAGCTTCCAAATAATTAGAAAAGACTCATATACATGACTACAATAATGCCTTTTTGGGCTATGGGGCTCCAATAAACCATCGAATTCCTCTCGTATCCATTCCTTACAATCTAACATCCTTCGCAAAATCCTCAATCATCTTAATGTTCCATATGTTTCAGATTTGGCCCAATCCAGATACCTATTCTTCCATAATAAAATTAAGAACTATCCCAACTCTTTCGTTTCTAGCCTTGCTTTCTCTTCTATTCCTGAGAAACCTGTGCGTTTAAAATACGATGGCCTCGTGATCTCCTAATGTAGACATATTATTGGAGTGCTACAGTGGATAATTAGTCAATAAGTGTTATCATGCTATGATACTCAATTGTTCACATTTACTAGATGTATAATACAGTTATAAATATCATGAATAAAATTGAATAAAAAAATATAATTTTAAGACAAAATGCTTCTTTTTCTTCTAATCAAGTTAATCTAATGCTTTCAGTTTATCGTTTAACTGGGTTTTCTGAAAGTATTAACCGTAGAAATGTTTACCATTTAAGGTAACTTAATATACCTTATTTTGATATACGCGAGTATATATTTTAACATAATACTATATGTGATAACTCTAGTATAGAATTGAAGTTTAAGGAAAATGTAATGAATTTTTCCCAATCCATATTATAAAAAGGCGTATTATATTAAAATCTGTAAAAAAAAACAATTAAGGTATATCAGTGAAAACATCAACAAGGCGAAATTAATAATATGAAATATAAATTATAAATAACAGCTAATTATACAGAGGTTGAAATGCTGAAAGTTTCCCTCCTTACAATATGCAGGTCTGATTTTTAGATTTTGAGATATTTTAATCCATATGAAAAAATACTGCAATTAGTCATTTCCAGCCGACCTTACCAGAACGTTTCACATCGGAAATCTGACTGTTCTATCTAATTAAGTGCTAAACGCGCCTATTGAAGTTTTCACTTCAAAAAAATTGAGCAGTTTTTGCCTTAAGAATACCATACGACTTACCTGTCAACATTTATGGGTATTTACTTTGAATAAATTTGACTCTATATCTAATATTCCAGATCGTATGTTACTTGGCCAGTATTAAATCATTCCAGGAATTTCGATAGAGATTAAATGCATTATTGGTCTGATGGAGGTTGTGATCTATTGTAGTTCCCTAAGGCATTTCTGGTGTAGTGTGTTTATTGGATACTTGGTCCAGACAATATATCATTGTATTATAAAGACAAAATCCACTATGTTCTATTAGGTTCCCATAAAATGGAGAAAAAAGAAACACTATCTAAATTAAAGCAGAAAGTGATTCTGGAAGGATGTCCTCCATGTTGGATACGGAAGGATACACAAGAATGACAAGATGTTAAGAAACTCAGGAAATGTATATTCAATTATGTTAAGTTTATCATCATTATCTGCATAAGAAACAACTTTTACAAGCTTCATAGAACCCACCCAGTACATATTTCAATAGGTAGTATAGAAAACCAATAAAAATATTGTATTCTAAAAAAAAATATCCGTAATGTATAATATAATAATATATAATATAATAATATATCATTTATTCAATAGTTGATAAAATTGCTAAGAAATACGACTCATTTGATTTAGAATGATTTAGTTTTCTTTTTTTTTCAATAATGTGCCTTCCTACTGAGAAAAAAAAAAAGCTACATAACACGTAGGGATTTCCATTTCCAAATACATAGAACCTAAATATGTAATAAATGTGAGTATAAAATAATCGCCAATTTTCTTCGAACTTGTAACACAAGTCACGGGTATCCCTGAGTTAGAATATTAATATACGTTATTATTTACCATTGTTTTCCCTGATTTAAAAGGCCAGTTAAAGGTTTTATCGCCCATGTATAATACATTTTTGAAGATACAGGAAAAACACAAAGTGAATTGTAACCATAAATTCCCAAACAATTCATAGTACCGGGTACAGACCCCTTTTTATGGAATTATTAACATCCACCTGAAACTTTGTAAATAGTTTTATCTCATCGTAACCTACACCTATTTTATTTACGAAAACTTTTGGATTGGGGAGTTTTAAATCTGGAGGGGTGCACACTTTGTCTATTTAATTAGGTACTAAAAACTCGTAAATACCCATTTGCTTTCTACTAAGATAAGATAATTAAGTAATATAATTTGATCAAAAGTTTCCTAGAAATATATTAGGCCGTTTGTCAAATTGCTCAATGTTTTTTAAGGTCATCTTTTTTCTCGACTTAATCAAATTATCTTACGATCTAAGTTGAAAGTAGTGACTATTTACGAGTTTTTAGTACTTAATTAAATAAACAATGTTTTCCCCCCTCCAGATTGAAAACGCTCCAATTCCTAGAGTTTTTATAAATAAAATAGTTGTAGGTTACGATGAGATGAAACTATTATAAATTATAACAAAGCTTTGGGCGGATGTTAATAATTCGATAAAAAGCGGTCTGTACCATGGACTATCCAATGAGCAATGACGAGGAAATTGTAAATTAGTTATCTTACCTTAGAACTGTAATCAGCGAAAATTAGAAGTTCAACTAGAAATACGAACACAATCTGGGAAAGTAAGAAGTCAAAAAGATGTCTACACATTATCATGGCCGTACAACTTATATCCCTTTTTTGCTAAATATAGCAGAGAGTTGGTCAACCGGGACAACACATGGAGCCGAATAACTACAGCATAGATGGAATACATGAGCAAGTGGCTTCAAAAACACGCATAAATACGACCAGAAATCAAACCTTAAGGGAAGAATTGAACACTCCTGCTTTGAAGAAGATCTTGGAGAAGAGGCATTGTAAGGGCATGTGTGCAGAATGAGTCCTGATTGTGATCCACGCAAATTAATGGAGGCGAGGCTTTTAGGCACTTAGACCTACATAGTCCTGGAGCCCTTGAAAAATAAAAAGGGTCATATTGCATACTAAGGTGAGTCCTTATAAATTGACCATATCCATGGGTCTGATTAGAAAAATGCACGTCTGCCAACATAGACTCTGAAGTTATACAGAAAAATATACTTTTCGCAATTTTCGATATTACAAAGCTGTTAATCTTTATATAAGACAATATACATGTGTATACATTGGCTTATATATAATACATACGTATATATCCTATCTTATATACAGATTAAGAATTGTGTAATAAAAATCGTGAAAAGTAAGTTATTCTGTACAGTTTTGAAATTTATTCCTTAAGTTATAATTGCTGTAGCCTTTGAATAGTTTACGATAAGGCAGTGAAATGATGTATATTCTTAATGAAAATTTAATATTAAACAACTTTGTTCTTTATGACTTTTTCGTAAAATGAAAAAAATAAAGAGTCGGCAAGCCAAATAATGATAAAAATGCGATGCAAACATTCTTTTTTTTCGAAATTAGTGAATTACGAGGACGGATATCACGGAAAATATAGAACATTGCAAAAAATACTAATATGAACATTTCTATTGAAAATTTTGTCAGCTTTAATTTCATATATTACATTATTATAAATGGAAGGCATAGTTTGAGTGAAAAATCGAAAAAAGTAAATTTTTTGAATAATAAATTCAATTTTTCATTTCAAAATCCGGGGGTATGAACTGACTATTATTTCATGTCTGATAACTGTAAATATTATAAATTGAAAGGGTTGGTATCTTTATATATCTATAAGCTCTCACTATATATATGCTTACAACCTATGTAGGGTATCTTTTATCTCCTCATGACCTCCATTTTGTATTCCAACGGCTATGTGATGGCAGTCGTGAATTTTCCCGTGAGGCCTTTGGATATGGTCAATTCATTAGGACAAACTTTAACATAAAATATGACACATTTTTTGCTACGGGCTCCCGTACTAACAGATAAATCAAGAATTAACTATACGAGACTTTTTTGAGAGACAGAGATTGATGAAGATCCGCTCAAGTCTCAAAGTCTCAAGCTCAAACTCAACGCTGAAAGGCAATAAGAGAAAATTAAAGAAGAAGATAAATCAACATAAATATTTTAGAAAACTAATACAGTGTACATATATATTATGTAATGCTATCAAGTTATATGATTAAAAATACAACTAATTATATTCAATATGCATATTATTAACACTTTTAATGCGACATTGTGATTTCAGGCTGATAGCACTCGAAGGTAAGACCCCTAAGGACGTTGGTATATAAGGGGATGTCTGTTGCAGTGGAGTTCAAACAATCTGCCAGCCTTTCACAACTACAATGGCTTCTATCAAGGCAATGGTGAGTGTGTTAAATTAATTAAATTGTTATTAAATAAATCGTTTGCAATTATCTACGATAATAATATAAACTTTAATGGTTTTCTTTATGATAGTTATTGTAAATTACAAGTATTAAATGATATCTATTCCAAATTAGCTATAATACTAATATAATAGCTAGTAGTATATTGTTTATATATATATATATAATATATATATATATATATATATATATATATATATATATATGATTTATGATAGTTATTATAAATTACAAGTATTAAATGATATCTACTCCAAATTAGCTATAATACTAATATAATAGCTAGTAGTATATTGTTTATATATATATTATTTATATCAAAACATATATTCTCTTATGTATCTAAAATCTTATCCTTGTAATAAATAATAAAAGTTAAGTATATTTAAATATTTTTGTTTCTTTTATTTTATTTTTTTCACGCGAACCAAAATATTGAATACTTAATGTTCCCTGTATAGGTGCGTTACTTGATCCATAAAATTAAATTGAATGACACAAATAAAATAAAATTTTCAATTTATTATCATAATTGAAATTGAATGAAGCAGTGAGTTGTAACGAATGCGCTGCACCTCAATGCCTCATAACAACCGTATTGCCTTAACGGCAGGATAGCATTTAAATTAATAAATAAATAATTTATTATCATAAATTAATTAGTTATAGTTTTGTGATTTTCATTCTCAATTACTATACCTTTCTTATATGATATGTGATTTATAGGAATCGTATCAGAATTAAATATCTTTAGAGACATACTATACCATGATGTCGCTTCTGTTAGTGCAAAAGGTCGTATGTAACAATTTTATATGTTTATTCAATTTGTGCTAAATGCAACGTTTTGTAGTCGGCAACTACTATAAGCAGTGCTATAAAATATAAAATTATTCTAATAAATCATAAAGAAATAACAAGTTTTTTATTATAATGATAAGGAGAAATAATAATTGTTTTTTTATAAAAAAAACTCTATTTTCACATACGACCGATTGCACTAACCGTAGAGATATTTTAACTCATTTCTATAAAATAATTTCGTTCTATTTTCAGAAGATAATTTTCCTTTACTTTTTAATTCTTTGTGTGTTAGTGTGACTTATTCATTAATGATTCAAGATTTTATCCACCTTTATGATTTATTTTTTAAATAATCTCATATAATAACATATAGAATTCGATAACACATTATACGCTTTATAAATAATATTATTCAATATAAGTTTTTCTATGAGTAATAATTTTTAGGGGAGCTGGATAGGTCAGTGAGTAAGTACTATGTTCTTATACTTAAAATCTAGCTTAAGATTCAAGCCCGGCTGTGGCAAGTAATTTACTATCAATTTCATTTTCCAATGTATACGGTTAATTGGGAGTTGCAATTCTAAAATGTTTCAATCAATTTTGTGACGATTTGTTTTATTAAATTAAATACATTAACGTGAATTCATATCTCAGGTCCACGTTCAAGTCAAAAATTAAAAAGACTGATTCACGAGATATGAGCGAGAAATTTTAGTAGTTCAAGTAGATGAAATATAATTATTTATGCCGCAGTCAACTGAACTAAAATTAATCAAAACTTTGCCGAAATCGTTTTATCTTTTTAATTCCTCAAATATAGCCACAAATTTAATAATATACTTTAGAAATTGTTTTTTGAATTTTTTTTTATTTTCACAACAAAACAAAAAGAAATTTCTTAGCCAGTTTACAACTTATTTTTTCCAATAGAAAAATATGAGTAAAATTTATAGTCCGTGGTACAGACCCCTTTTTATCGAATTATTAACATCCGCCTGAAACTTTGTAAATAGTTTCATCTAATCGTAACCTACAACTATTTTATTTACGAAAACTCTTGGAATTTGGGCGTTTTCAATCTAGAGGGGACCAAACTTCGTCTATTTCATTAGGTACTAAAAACTCGTAATACCCATTTGCGTTCTACTTGGATCGTAAGATAATTTAATCATGAAATAGATAAAAAAAAGTAGTCTTAAAAAATATTGAGCCGTTTAGCGTGACCTACACCCCCAATTTTCAAAATAACGATGTTATATAGGAAAACGACCCAATATATTTGTAGGCCACTTTTTTTTATCGCTTTTGTTGTTACTGGAAACTTTTCCTGCACTTGGTGAGTTCTCCTCGCGAAATTATATTTACCTCTTATAGTGTCATACTGGCAAGGGAATTCAAGTCAAAGTGAAGATACAGTTTCATCATAGATTTTTCTATTTTTTTTTATTCGGCTGCGATAACGAAACAGTAAGAAAGCAAAAAAAGGTACTGTATCTGTAAAAGAAATATATAAATCACTTTAAACGGTAGAGTTTACCGCAAAGACGAAGATGAATTGAAGCGAAAGAATATTTCCATGTCATTTAGGCGATGTTGCCTCAACTAAATAATAAAATCTACCGGACTTACCTCTGTATGAGAGGATTCCTCCGTTGAGGACCACCTGGGAAATAGTTGGAGATAGCACAGCTGAGAGAAAGGACTGCTCGAAAAAGGGGATATTGAGAATCATGTAGGAACTTCGTCATTTTGACGAACGTTACCTTTTACGGGTTAAAATTTAATCGATTACAGTTTGCAAACCTTAAGTTTTCGAATTAAATTTCTATTTAATCATATTTGTTAATGTTTTAGGTCGTCCTTTTATTTGGACTAATATATGTGACCATGGCAGCTGAAGAACCTCGTGGAAAGCGAGGGCTTGGATACTATGGTAAGTATCGAATTATTTTAACTTTAATTAAAGTGCTTAAAAAAAATTATATATACATACACCATGACGAACTTTAGGTTAATGGATAGAAAATGCAGGGCACGTTCATTATATCTTAACCTGGTCTTGATAGAACACGATTTTTATAATCCGTTTCTTTCTGTCCCAATCAGCCGAAATAAATTCATTTAAGTTATAGTTTTTTATTATTATTATACTTTTGCAAATGTTATATTTTCTGTAAGTATACTGTGAATATGTTCATATATCACTATAATTATTGTCCACATGACAGATTGTTATATTTCTAAATTTAAAAAAAAGTTATGACCCTACTAAATTTCACATTAACTTTTATTCAAGCTCTAATAAGAATTCGAGAATCGAAAATTACTATACGCACATTATATGTGAAATTTTCTTTCTGTTTACACCTCACGTACAAACTTCATTCCTCCACTAAATCGGAAAACAGATCTGTATTCAGAATAAAGTATATAGTAGTTAATGGTTGAATATTTTACTATTATTTTATTGATTGCTTATAATATTATTATCGCTTACTAATAAAAAAAAAGGCTCAACCTGATAAACAAAAGATTACGGGTTCGAGTACCGGTGCCGGCAGAATTTAACTCTAAAGATTTTATGTTAATTCCCTGGCCGTTCCTCTATCCAGAAACTTATAAATGTAATCTAGTTTTAATATATTCATATAAAAATTGTACTAATTTACTCATCACCTATTAATTGTTTTTTTTTTAATAAATCTTTTAAACATTACCTGATTATGTAATTCTTTGATTATTTTCTGGTTCTTAGGAAATTATGGATACGGTGCTCTCCCATACTCAGGCTACGCGGGATATGGTCTTGGATATGGCCTGGGATCCTATGGGTATGGAGGATACGGTGGATATGGTGGATATGGAGGATATGGTGGATATGGAGGCTATCCATATGCATATAGCGGCTATGGTTCATACCCTGGCTACTATTACGGAAGCTATGGTTACCACTAAAACATGTTCCTATCATTAACAAAACTATAAATATAAATTATTTCTAAGTCTTATTTTTCCACCGAATATCACACCAAACTAATAAAGTGTACAAAATAATTATAATAAAGAAGTTTTTTTTTCAAACTATTATTTTTCATATATTTATTTTTCCTCTTCCTTATCTAAAAATAAAACATGATTTCTTTTAATCATTGGTTAAAGTAAAAAATCGATTATTGATAACTAAGAATGACTTTTATATTTTAATATGTTTATAATATAATTCTATTTAAAAATGTTTATATTCATCTTGTTATCTGTTGAAATACTGTATTTATTATGAAATTCTAGAAAATTGGATTTTTAAAATTTAATTTATTTCTTTTAATATTAATCATGTGATTAAACTAATCATATTGTTTAGGAATTATATATTGCCTGCAATATTTATTTTGCCTGTATCTAGGAGCATACTGGAGTGCCAATATAGATTTATCTCCATCCAAAAAGAAAATGAAAAAAAATTCTTGAGGGTTTGTCATTTGAAAAGGAATACATTTCCTAAAAGCATTTTAAAAATTTAGTATTTGTCGATCATAAAGATTCATATTTATTTGTTTTCAATTGTTCGATCTGATACCAACAATATAGCCACAAATGGATGCTGACCTCTTATAATAAATTAACATCTCACGGGATTTTCGAAATATTTGAGCATAATATGTTAAATATTAGATCTTCTCAAATAGGTCACGAGTATCTTTTTTCACAAAGTGTAAGTAATTTTTTTTAAATCTTATTTTATTGAGAAAAAAATACATTTTGCCTCAATCAAGGGCATTGAATATTTGAGATGTTAGAAATTCAACAATACAATATGTACAATACCAAAAATAAGAGAAAGAAAGCTTAGTAAAACAGATGAAATAAAGTCTGATACGACTCCAATAAAAAAGTAAATAAATAAGAAAAAAAACCATTCATGCTTATTTACAATATTTAAAGTCAGCCGAGGGAGCTCCAAGTCGGGCCTTTTCTCCCACGTGTGGAAGATAAGGCAAGACTCTAAGAGATCCCTGCGCTTCTCTCTCAGCCGCATCACTGAGATGGGGATCATAATTGTATACAATCATCAAGTCACATTAAGCAATTTAACTTAATTTATTCCCTGTACAGTATCTAGCCTAAGAACATGTAGATTTGAAATTATTTAACAAATAATAAATTAATTAAAAATCTATAATTTCAGTAGTTTAAAATATATTTTATGTTGGAAATGCTATTACTTTTTTTATTTCACAATAGGCGCTATTCACATTTAGTTGTGTTACCAAGAATCAGTTTCTCATATGAAATATTAATTCGAGAGTTAAAATCCAAATAATTTTCTATCCGTTATAAAAGATCAATACTAAAAATTAAAATTAAGCAACAAATTTTTCAAAAAAAAAAAAAAATGTAGGTTAATCTTTTAAACGAATGTCTTTCAGAAAAAAATGAAAGAATAAATAAGATATAAAGCCCAAATAATAATAATAATAATAATAATAATAATAAGGCTTAGCGAACCCGAAGGTTCGATGCCGACACCATCAATCGCTTGTTACACACCTCCCTCCACCGTTCGCCGTCCAAACCCAGTCCCTTCAGATCGGCTTTAATGCAATCTTCCCACCTTCGCTTCGGTCTACCCCTCGGACGCTTACCATTCGGCACAGCAAATATTAACCTTTTAGGAATTCTCTCGTTACTAAGCCCAACTACTTTACAAGCCCATTTGATTCGCCGCGATGAAATTACCTCAATTATATTACCCGGATACAGCTCACGTAATTCGGCGTTGTGTAACCGTCTGAAATCTCCGGTTAACTCATCCTTCTTCGGTCCGAATATTCTACGCAATACTTTATTTTCAAAAACCTTAAGACGCTGCTCATCCCTTAATGTAAGCGGCCAAGTTTCGCATCCATAAAGAACTGTAGGCAAGATAATTGTTTTATAGATTCTAATTTTTAAGTTTCGGGACAAGAGGCGCGAACTAAGTAGTTTTGTCACAGAAAAATAACAAGCATTCCCCGCCTTCAGTCTAACCTTAATCTCTTCTTCAATTTCGTTTTTTCTAGTTATCGTAGAACCTAGGTACCTAAATTTATCTACCTGTTCAAACATATTACCATCTATATCGATATCACCAGTAGTATCGCCATTTTTGCAGCTAACCATATATTTTGTTTTATCCACGTTTATTTCGAGTCCTAGTTCTTTACCGGCTTTCATTAACGTTGTCGTATTTAGTTTTATAGTTTCAACGTCTTCGCTTAGCAGTACCAGATCATCAGCATAGCCCAGCACGGATGTTGTCCCGCCCAGATCCAACCCTTTCTCGGTTCGCATTACCTCCCTAATGGCATGTTCTAATGCCAAATTGAACAGGACAGGCGAAAGAGAATCCCCCTGTTTCAAGCCCGAACGAACCTCAAATTTTTCGGACAAATTACTACCGATTCTAACTTTATTGAGTGTCTCCGTCAAGCACATCCTGACTAGATTTACTAGTTTTTTTGGAATCCCCTGCTCGATTAGAATATTATACAGTTTCTGGCGGTCAATAGAATCGTACGCCTTTTTATAAAGCCCAAAAGGAGACTTAAATAAAAATTGTATAAATAATTATATATTTCCTCTGGTATGCATTACTTTATTTTCCGAGGGATTGACCGAAGCGAAGGTGGGAAGATTGATTTAAAAACTGATCTGAAGGGACTGGGAAATAAGGTATTAAGTGTAAAAAGGGATTGGCGGTGTCGTCTTCCAATCTTCGGGTTCGCTAAGCCTTTTATTATTAATAATATTTTTATTTGTTTTTCTCCATTTATTTTAGGTTGTTAGGTACGTGCTTTTTATTCTCTTTTAGTTTATTTTTTTTGTTCAGTTCTTGCCGTTTGTTTATGTTTTTGAGCTCTTCTTGTAACCCTTCCTTTTGTATTCCTTCTTCTTGGAGTAATATATTTTCTCTAGTTATTATGTCCTTTTGTTTTACTTTATTTTCGATAAAATGTGTGTTGTATATAAGTGGTTTAGATTGTTTCCTGTCCTGGTGATGACGAAATTGACTAAATTGGTTAGGTTGTTATAACTGGATTTAAGAACTCTCCTTATAATATATTCCTTCGATACTGATAAAGCAAAATATAAAATTAAGTATTTTCATTTAAATCTATATTTTTTTAAGCATCATTTTTTTCAAATATATTTATACATGTTCTTTTTTTATGTAAGTATATATGTAATTTATATTAGTAAAGTTTATTTTCTGTATTGACTTATTGTGTGCGAATAGGATTATAATAATATATTGCTTCAATGTATATTATATATTGCTTCAATATGGACGATGGATAATATATTATTAGAAAATTTAAATCCTGACTGATATCAAAAACTTTGCGATTTTCAAACAAAAACATAATAATCCTTAAAATATGACAAGAGTGATTTGGAATCCGATACAAAAGATATACAATTATCAAGTCAAAATTTGAAAATTATTTTGTCTACTATACGATCGTGAATTAACTGGAAGAATCAAATTAATGTTATAAATTAAATCTATCATACACAGTTGAAGAACTTGGTAGTATGTGTATGCATTACACCACAGTAAATTGTAGTAGATACATTTCATAACCATAGAAAAGAGCTTGCCAAGGATTTAACTCATACCGGCTTTTCTGTGATATACAACTTCAGTCGCATTCGGCGAAAAAAACAAACAAAATAAAAACAACAAAACTAGGTAAATCAACGGCTCAGTGGAAACATACATTTCAGATGAGACAAAGCGAGCAGTTACTGTTTCACACACGCATGAGTGGGATCACCGTGTATCGCTGATGTGAAACATTTTACGAGAGAGAAGACCTGTAAACTTGGCAGAAAATGGTTTATTAATTTATCATAGTCATCTTAGAAACCGTATTCATAGAAAAAAATATATAAAAATAATAAATCCAAATATTGCTTATAATTTGAAACATAAAAACGATACTAAGAAATACAAAAATGTTAATTTAATAACAATTATTTAAATGATTATACTCACATTAAAGACGAGCATCTGTCATTTTCAGAAAGTGGAGAAAAGTCAATTTTATGGGTCCACCTTGAGGTCAATTATTATAAAAATAAATAAAAATTAAGTCCCATAAAAAATATCTTTTTTTCCTGCTTTGGTCATAAGTAGTGTTGCCCAAAATCGTCCTTGCAAGACCAAGACCAAGGCTGCCTAACTGTTGCAAGACCAAGACCAAGTGGACAGTTTGAACTGTATCTGATGTTTTTATTTAATAATGAAGTATAATGAAAATAAGATAACATATTAACACAAAAAAGATAATACAGCAAGTAGCTTAATGCAATAAGTCTCTTGTCCAGCGCCTCAGCAGCATTAGTTGTATAGCTTTTTTTGTTATTATTATTCTTTTTTTTTTTTTGTGCCATCATTTATTTTCCTTGATATCATATTCGCTTAGTACCGAAGTAGATGGAAAATTTATTTTGTGCCAGGAAATTGTGTAACTAAATTTTATAATGTTCCAGTTGATTCATGAAAAAAATATATTAGAATCGGTTTAAATTGAAACGGTTTTTCAAAAATTGACTTTCCCTCAACTTTTCAGAAATGATAACTGTCCGTCTTTAGCGTGAAGCTACTCAAGTTACACAAAAATTTATTGTAGCTATTAATATTTTAAGACTGCTATTAATAATACTAATGATTATTTTAAAAAAAATAGTTTGCTGTATGCCAAATTATTCATTGTTCCTTTGCATTTATTGCCAAGTTGAGGCTAAGTTACTTACAAAGACTAAGTTACTATTAATATACAAGACCATCTGGACCTACGGACTTGGACTGTGGGGGACAATTAAATTTTCGATCATCAAGCGCATCCAATCCTTTCAGCCTAAAGTCCTTCGTACAACAGTAAATGATCCTTATTATCTTACAAACAAAACTCTACATCATGATCTTAACATCCCTTATATCCTAGGCGTTATTCCGTCCCGTATCTCAAATTTTCATCAAAAATGAATTCATCATCCTAATCCCTTAGCACAATCCTTATCCAGTTCCAGCCATCCCTACAATCCTCCTTGAAGGTTGAAACGGTAGTGACCTCGAGATCTTTTGTAAATACGTCACTGGAGACCTGGCAATGGCCAGCTTCTCCACTCAAGTCATGAGTTTATGTAGCTTTTAGTGCCCTCTCTCAATCTCTACTTGATTCCCATTCTGATCTACTTGATGCGGCTGAGAGAGAAGCGCTGGGATCTCTTGGAGTCTTGCCTTATCCCTCACACGTGGGAGAAAGGGCCCCGACTCGGAGCTCCCTCAGCTGACTGTAAATATTGTAAATAAGTATGAATATGTTTTTATTATTTACTTTTTTTATTTAATGTTGTCTCATGTTTCATTTATTCTGTTATACTAAGTTTTCTTTTCTTTTGTTATAAGTTTCTATTGTTTTTGTTTTATTGTATATATAGTATGATTGTGTTCATACATCCCAAATATTCAATGCCCTTAATAAAGGCAAAATGTGTTTTTTTCTCAATAATATAAAATAAAAAAGTTATGTATCACATAAAAAATAAAGTAAATTTAAAATTATTTTGAAATAAAATAACATAATTATTTTCGGTGTCTCATATTATCCTTTTATTCCATGAATTTGGAAAACCAATAAACAATGGTGACCCATCAAAGAAATAGATTAGTTTGTGTCGATAATCCTTTAACCAGAAAATATCTCTTAAGCCATATATTTATGTGAAGTAGTTTCTGGAGATGACATTAATAAAAAAATTTAAAAAACTGTTTTTGAATTTTTAAGATAAGAAGTTATTTAAAAAAATAATAATAATAGTAATAAGATAAATCATTACATCATGAATTTGTGACAGTTTAGGTAAAAGAGACTTATTATTTATGCGAATGGTTGTAGCAAGGCGATAACGAGAATTTATTGGACATTTGACACTGACATTGAATATGCAAATGGGGGTTTGGTGACGGCCCATGTTCCGCAAGCCCACGCTTGTTCGTATCTACCGGTCACGGAATAATCACCCCCCTGCCTTCATGATATTTTGAATTTGAATGAAAATATAACTCAGTTTTCTAGGTGATAAATTCACTTATCAGATTTGCATTGGAAGGCTAAATAAAGATTAATATTGGTTTTTTTTCGAAATTTAAAAGGAAAAACCACAAGTTATTTTTTAACATTCTCAATGAATTATATTTTCCTGAACCAACTGAAATGTGACAGTTAGTTTTACTGCCGTATAATATGTTTTTTTTGTTTTTAATACAAGATTTAGTAACAAGCACTAACATATCCAGGATTAAGTTTTGAGAGAGATTAAGACCAAAACATTTTTTTTGTATGTATACATAGGTAGATAGATAGAAAGAAAGCTTTATTTTATAAACATTTTACATATTCCTTTTTTTTATAACAACTTTGTTTTGGTAATGGTATAGAACCGCCTGCCTAAAAATACATACAATGAAAAAAAAATTATAATAAAATAAATAAAAACAATTAACTTTGGAAACTTTAAACAACCTTTTGTTATTTAAAACAATATAAAACATACAACCTGATACATACAATATAAATAAACTTTAATTGGTAAAAAAATAAGAAAGAAATAATTTTTGTTGCATAAACTTAATCTTATACTTGCTTTTGTTTACATATAACTAAAGAATGTTATGTGTTGTATTTCTGAATCAAAAACATCCTATATTTATAAATCCTATAATATATGATACATATTTAAACTGCTCCAATCTTGAACATGATTACCATTGAGTATGTTTATAAGTTCATTACGGTTTATGATTTTTTTATTAAAATATTTGATTCGATATTCCTGTAAAATCGGACAAACAGCGAAGTAGTGGTATACATTCTCTATTTCATTTAAATTACAAAGGCTATACAATATTTATTGCTAACTCCTCATAAAAATATTGCTTAGAAATAATAATTGTCCAAGCAATTTAAATATACCTTTAATAAAATGCATTTTATTTACATCTGATATGTAATGCCTTTCACCTAAGTCTGTTTAAATCCTTATAAATGTCAGGAAATGTAGACACTCTAACTTTTTCTCTCGTATCCACTTTAAAATTATTTTATAATTTATTTAAAACATGGGGAATTATTTTATCACTAGTGTATTCCATTGTGATATTAATTCTGTTATAGAGCTCAATGTTTTCTTTGTGCCAAAATATTTTCTGTTTTATTACTTATTTAGCGAAAATGTTCGGTAATCTTTATGCTGGTAAAGAAAATACTCTTTGTATACATTGCAATGACAAGTATAGAAGATTATCGGTTTAAAATTGGATTCCAAATATAAAATATAATGAGGTGAATTAATAGGAAGGGAAAACAGTTTTTTTAAAATAAAAAATATAGTTAGTTTTTCGACTTCTTCAAAACTATGATATCCCTAAACTTGGCAAGCGTAACAAATTATTGATGGCACGGCAGCATTGTAAACATGTAACTTATTTAATAATGATATGTCATAATTTTTTAATATGGTATTATTGGATGTATTAAGTGTTTAACTTATAAAAAAAAATAGTTTTCAGGTTGCATAGATGAGTCAGGCCTATTCCCAGGTAATTGTAATAATTTAGAATTTCCCAATGATGTGCTTCCATTTTTCATTTCTCATTCATTCCTAATTTTCCCTTATTGCAAAATACCATAATTTTAGTTTTTGTATGTATATATTAGGATAATTTCTTCGGAAGAAAGAAAGCAACTACCTATATGAAATGTTGTTTAAGTGATTATTGAAGTCCTATTAAATTTAATTAGATGAACCATAAAACTTTTAGTGATATTTTTTTTTCTAAAAAAAATGGTTATATTTTGCATTTTTGGGTAGAGAGGAGAGAGGATTCAGCCCGAAAGAATCTAAATATCTACAGCGCTGAATTAGATCTGTATAAGAGCATTGTATTGTATATATCTACGTAAAGAGTACAGGAATAAAGAATACTATCTACATTAAGGGTGCTGAATTGTATATATCTACATAAGAATATATACTCTAAGTTTTCGACAGATCTATACGTTTCAGAGAGAAAAAAGATGACTAGGTAAAAGTAAGGAAATCTGTTGCCCGCTTCATACAGGATTCACTATTTCCTCTACTTTTAACAGAAATTATTGTTTGACAAAATTAAGCTACGGCAAAAAGTTTTTGATCAGCAATATTAGAGGGTATTGAAATTTTTACACTGATCTACTTTAAGCAGGTTTACATTGCTTTAGTTTATCAAATAAATCGTACTCAAATCTTTTCTTTGATCAATTTTCAGGAAAATAAATCTAATTCAATTTTTTTTTTTAAATTCTCCACGGACATATGTAAAGGTATAAAAACTTTTCTGAAATAATTAGGAGAGTCGTGTGTGTGGACACATCAGATTTTCGTAAATGCGATCTTCATTGGTGAACTTCTCTTTCGAGATAAACGTGACTTTTGGTAGGAGAAATCTCCCAGTTAAGGCACTCCAGCCGCGATGTTGTTATTAATATAACAGATCCCTATTACATTTCTACTCCTCCGACGTTGAAGTCTTGTTTTCGTATTTTGAGGTAGTGTGTCTGCTACTAGTAATGTTTGTTCAAGTGGAATAGGATGCTTAACTAGTGTCATGGAAATATTTGCAATATATGTTTATTATGTCAATCATATGTATTCGTAGCTCTTAATGCAATGATTCACTGGTTAGCGTGAAGTGACAGTGAGTGTTATACCGGATAAATTCAGATCGTAAGATTTAAAAAGTATGTGAGAGCCATTTTTCTGTTGAATCTACACCTGAGTGGCATACGCCAAATGGATCTAAGCAGCATGTCGTATATGATATTTTTTTTTTAGAAAGTAGTTGTTTTTATGGAGTAGCATTCGTTTTAGAAGTGAGAGTCGGTGATTCAATTTTTTTGGTTGTTGTCACGTGTGATTTCCAGCTCTGGCGTCAGTCTATTGTGAACCCCAGATATTTTATTTATTCGAAATATGACGAAGAAATTTTGTAAAGTGGTAGGCAACCGAACACTTAAGCGTGATTTATGAATGTTAATTTTTGTGCGCTATTTTGAAGTCAGTTTTACAATAGATTTAAATGATTTTGCAAGTTTCGGGACTGATTATTTAATAGTAAACAATTTTTATAGTCAACTTTTTTTTTTTATTTCCTTAAATTAATCACTTTTGACTTGAAAACTCCATTAAAAACTTTTTAGCAATGATGAACTTATTAAATAAAATTTATACTCACATTTGCATGTTTTGTGAATTAGAAATACAATTTCTAATATTGTAATAAAAAATATATTGTCATTTATGTGGATATTCTTCAAATTTATCTAAGTAGGTTTATTACATATGTGGTCAAAGAAATTTACATGATAAGTCTAAAAATATTCTTGATGTATTATATTTATCGTGATTAACGTCCAAGTCTTCTGTATTTTATGACGAAGTTTGTGAAATACAAAGTTGCATATACTTGTATGAACCAAATCCATTTATGTATGATCCCTATAGAATGAACAACTGAGTACTTCGTCGTTATATTTAACCAAGTCAATTGTCAATATATTTAAATATTATGATTACCAATGACATAATTATTAAACTATTTTAAAATAATTATATTACCTAAGGATTAGGATGATTTATAAAGAATAAATACAGGTTAACGGGAAAATATTTTATTGAAAACTGTAATTATGACTGATTTGTTTCATTTTGCAAAGGGGAGAAAACTGATTTTTGTAATCAAGAGTTGATTTTAAGGAGGGAGAAGGGAAGTCTTCAGAATTTAGTGGACGTAGCTGACAGCACCATATGGGTAGCCGGAGTATCCAGAGTATCCGTATGGGTGGTATCCAGCGGCGTATCCAGAGTATCCAGTGTATCCAAGTCCGTATCCAGCAGAGTAGGCGGTTGGGTATGCGGCGTATCCGGCGGAGTATGGGACGGCACCGTTGTAACCGTATCCACCTACGGATAACAGAAAGTATTAGTTTCTTTCTAAGTGTTATGTTAGAAATTATGACAATCTTTCTGGTGTATAGAAATCACTAAAAGTATTCGCTAAAGGCTTTGGTTTATAATTTAAAATAATAGTTCCAAAGCATCAAATCTCTTAAAAAATGGAAATTATAATGGAAAATAAATCCCCGCTATGGACATTTCACCGAAGTTCCTAATGTATTTATTGAGGAAGACCATATTTTTAGAAATTTAATTATATTCCCGGAAGACAATGATACTTTCCTTAAGCCATTTTCTTAGAAAACTGAAAATACATTGACAAAGAGTAGTCCGTTTAGCTTTTAGCAGTATTCCCTCAAAGATTTTCTTTTTAAAAATTCTAACTATATTATCAACTCATTATCAATGAAAAATATTAGAATAAAAATATTTTCTTAAGCATAATATTTTATAAATTAATACATGAAAATATAGTATGAATCTTAGGAAGAATATCTATACCACTAAGGTGAAATTAAACTATTGTCGATTACAACTGTGAGTTGTTCTCGTAGTCGTAGTTAAGATAAAATCCGTGATTCGCGATTAATTTACAGGATTCTAATGGTTATTTAAGAACGGGTTTATTAAGTCGCTAAATAATATACACAGAGTAAATACTTCATATCTTATTGATTTAAACATTGGTCACGAGTGATAGATGAGTCGAATCGTGAAAATCAATCAGCTCAGTTAAACGAGTGAAAACAGAACCAAAATGTTGCAAAACCCTATTTGTTGAACCAATAATAACTTCACCCAGATATAAATGAGGGATCTTCAAATAGCGAACGCGATTATATGTAGGTAATAAGTTAAAGATATACTGAGTTTTGCTAAATTAATACCTTATAATAAATAAATGCCTCGAAACATATACAAATAAAATCTATATTCTTGTTTAAGTAAATATACATATTTATTATTTAGTTTATTATTTAATTTTAACTTATAATGTAAGTAATAGAAGAATTTTCTGTTGTTTTACAATAAAAATACACCAATATGAAATCAGAAAGGACTATTTTTGTCTAAATGAAAAACCGACGACACTTTTAAAATTAAGAGAAAAATAAAATTTTGAATTGAAGTGTTAAGCAGTATAAAAATGATATTTTTGAAAGTGGACAAAATAATGAAACATTGCAAAAAAGATATATAAAATGTGTGATGTAATTTTATAAAAGTTTATTTATTAATAATTTTTGTAACGTTATTAATTATGGAATGATTTTTTTAAAAATTAGTTATTTAAGGCTACTGTTATTGAAAATTCATTCATCTGACACAAAATATAAGTATATTAATATGCAGGGTATCCCGTAAGTGAAGGAACATATTTAAATTGTTGCAATCAGACCCCCAAGAGCTACAAAATAGTTTATAAATTGACCTTGGTCTGATTTTCACTAGAAAAGTGAATTTTGTGTTCTTAGTTAAGCCACGGTTTTTGTTGAGTTTGGAAACGATAGATAAATTCATATTTAATTTAAGTAATTAACAATCGGTTTATAGTAAATTAAACAACATTTTCTACAAATGCAAGTAGTTTTTATGTTTTTAAAAATATTTAAGAGATTTATTAGGCTAAGTTCTGTTTATTGTTAAAATAATGTTTTTTTTTAATTTAAATTTATATAGTAATTGTTGATGTCTACTATCAACTTTTGAAATCTTGAATTTTACAAACGGGACACCAATTATTAAATATTAGTGATGAAAAGTAACTAAATATAGTATAATAAAAATATAATATTTGTCATATTTTTAATTTTAAAAGAACCAAAAATCATGCTTACCATAGAAAACTCCCCTCTTGTCACGGCCTTCTTCGGCGGCGAAAGCCACGGCGAAGATAGCGACGAAGAGGAAGATCTAAAAGGATACATAAAATAAAATACATAATAAATAAATTTGAATTTGTTATAAAATAAAATAATTTTAAAAATATATATTTTAAATTAAATAATAAGTTTCTGTGAATAAGACATCTTCAACTCACCAGAGCCTTGTATGAAGCCATTGCTGTTTTGTCAGAGAGTGTGAGATTCCCTATGCCCTAACTGGAGGAGACATCCCCTTATATACCACTCCAGGGCTGCTAACCTTGCTCGAGCTGGTCTACGACCTGCCATTTCGGCCGCTGGAAGATCTTCTTTTTGTCTTTTTGGACCACACCCTCCGGTTTTCCGTTAGTGTTCCAGCGGCTTTTCAAGGGTCTATGTTAATTTTTCATAGTGGTTATAATTAATCATATTCCAGCTCTCTGACTAAGGACCGCCTACCCAACAGAGACACTTGCCATGTACAAATTTATTAATTTATCTTCTCATTTCGAAATAATAGAAGCATACAATGAATCAAATTGTTGCTTTTAGTTACTTCATTGTATTACCAGAGACAAAAAATTAATATCTAAGTATCTTTTATTCTAGAAAATGGTTAAAGTCTAGATATTTATCTCGGGATCAAGTAATTGATTTATTAAATGGAAACAATTTGATAGCATTGGTAAATTACTTCAAGTCTGTTTTCTCCTATAGAATAATGCTAACCAGAGAATTTAACAATTAATAAATTGGAGAATTTTTGAACCACTGTTTTTGTAATTAAAATATTTCTATAACGTTTACATTGTAAATATAATTATTCTTATTTTCCTATTTATTAGTTGTATATAAATAGATTGAAATATAATTTTGTTATGAAACACCTCTGACGGTCACATACCATGTAGTATGTCTGATTTTTTTTTTATAATAATAATCTTTATTGAGATATATTACAATCTGTCACATTCAAGGGCAAGAGTAATAGTGATATAGAGTAGTATACTATGTACAATAAATAAAAATAATAAACAGAATATAATAATACTAAAGTAAATGTATATAAACTAAAAGATACTAAACTAAACAAAAATGAATTAATCTAACAAAATAAATATTTAAATATACACATTTTAATACACGGTTTTAAATCCAAAAATATTATTTTGTAATTTATATTTTGTAATTTTGATAAATAAAAAGACTTTTTCTTCTCTTCTTCCTCTTCTCTTCTCGAAAATTTGTTCATAGGAGAGAGATATGCATGTGTTACAGCATTTTTATATTATTTATTTAATGAACTAGTCCACTATATTTTATGAAGTTAGGAAGAGAGAGGATAAAATATGAGGAGGAATATAAGAAATGTATAAGGGGAGAGAAGGGAAAGAAAGAGGAATAGAATGATAATAAATTAATGAAAGAAATTTTCAGGATCAGGTTCTTTACTGACGACAGTTTCAGAATAAATTATTTTATTTTATTTTACACCTTAAAATTAAATAATCGTCCGTTGTACCTAAAACACATTCATCTCTGTAATTATTTAAATAACATTAAATATTAACATTAAGAATTCATTTATATTAAATAATTTAATCTCAACCTTTCACTATTTAAAAAATAGACGAGTTGAACTGAGCTCTTCGTCTGATATTATATCTAAAACTAATTTCACTTTAAAAATTGCTTATTTATAAATTAATAATAAAAGTTTTTTTCATAATTATCACAACAAGATCTTTAATATAATAAATTTATAAGCTGTACCTCATTTTCAAAAATTTCTCAATAGCACAGTTTAATATTTCACAATAATTTATATTGCAAGTATTTCTGTTAACATCAGCTTATAAAATAAATAATAAAATTACACTGCCTGAAATTAACAACTTAATAACAATTTATTTTTTTCTTTTTAGTCTGTGTAATTTTCTTATTTATTTTAGGCAGTTCAATTTTATTATTTATTTAAGAGGTCGATGTCAAAAGAAATACGTGCAATATCAATTATTGTGAACTATTAAATTGTGCTATTAATTATAAAAAACTTTTATTATTAATTTTATTAATAAGCAATTTTTAACATAAAATTAATTTTAGATCTGATATATGATATCAGACGAAGAACTATGTTCAAATCGTCTATTTTTTTTTTAAATAGAGAAAGGTTGAGATAAAATTATTTAATATAAAGGAATTATTAATTGTATTATTTAAACAATTATAGAGATGAATGTGTTTCAGATACAACGAAAGATTATTTAATTTTAACGTGTAAAATATAATAATTAAAAAATAACCGACTGTCGTCGGAAAGAATCTGATTCTGAAAAATCTTTTTTTTCACAGACTTCACAGAGAGAGAGAATTACTTTATTTTCATAAAAGGGTGCTGCCTAATTATATTGAGTTGCTACAAACACAGCATACTTAATAATTATTATAAGTAAAACCTTTTTAAAAATAATATACAAATATGCAATATTTACGATATTTATGAGCGTCTAATTATTGAGTCTCTAATTTACTTATTTATTTTAAGCAGTTCAATTTTATTATTTATTTTAGAGGTTGGTGTTAACATAAATATGGGCAATAAAAATTATTGTGAGATATGGAACTTTGATATTAAAAAAGTTTTGAAACCGGGAATGCAGCTTCGAAACGTCAACTAATAAATTTATTATTTAAAACAACTAATTTTTTATCTTCTAAGAAAAATCTATGTATCTTTACTCAGGGTGTCCCGTAAGCTGAGGGAAATATTAATTGGAGTAATAGAGCTACAAAAAAGTATAAGTATATATAGAAATAGTAGCCCGAACTTTTGGCAGAAAAGTAGGAAATTCGTAACTCGAATATTTTGAGAAAAAAAAAAAAACATTTAATTTAAGAATTGATGATTGCTTCACAGTAAAATTTTTTTTTTTGGTACAAGTAAAATTTTTCATTGTTAAAACTATCATAAGAGTACTTTTTAAAGAACATTTTTTTTTATATATGTATTCTTCACGATTTTTCGTATCAACCTACGACAGATTCTCCACTTTTAGAAAACCTTACATGTAAAATAACGAGGTGATTTGATATCCTGCCCCCTAAAAGTATTCGCGATTTCAACAAAAACTACTACAATTAAGTATTGAACAACTTTTACTTATTTATTTATTTTTTATTATAATAAACGGAGTTTTATTATAAATTCACATTTTATTTACAAATAAAAAACATGTTAAAAATAATTACCTAATTCACAAATATTTACCATCTAAAGTGATAATGATACAGTGGTTTTTACCTGTATCTCTACTACAGAAATCGAACTGTATTTATATATGTCCAACTTAATGTTTCTAAACCTAATGTTAACGTTTTATATAAAGAAATATTAGGATAAATATCACGACCTTTGTTCGGGCCATTATCCAATAATGGTAAGAAAAAAAATTAAGGAGTGTTCGATCAGACGATAGAATCGAAAACATCTACAAGACGAAATTAATAATATGAAACATATAATTATAAATAATAGCTCATTACAAGGAGGAAGAAATACTGAATATTTTCCTAGGTTAAAGTATGCAGATCCTGATATATTTTAATCCATACCTTCAATAAAACTCGTTATCATTTTGTCGATATAATTTTAGATTCCTAAATATGAGAAATAATCTCGAATCGTTTAAGATGTTAATAAATACATTTAAGTAGAAGAAAAAAAATCACCTTTAATACAAAAGTTCAGTTTCATGTGACATTTCATTTTTCAGCTAGTCTGTTCGCGTACACTGATAAAGACATCCACAGAACATTTAGCGGTACTCGTATTGCTTAGACATGAGAAGGTATACCTTAAAACGTGTATTTTCGTTCGAAACGTGTATTTTTCTAAATCGCAACTCTATATATTTCCTTTACTACATATTTCATTTATGAGGGGTGAAAATAAAATAAAAAATGGAAGTGTCCTCAATGTTTTATTATGCATCAATAAATTACATATTTATTATTTATGAAAATAAAATAGAAAATGGAAGTGTCCATAATATTTTACTGTGCAATATAAAACTAAATATTTATTATTTATAAAAATAACTAGTTACTGTATTATCGACTGCAGTCGAAATCGTTTCTTTTTTCCTTTTATATCCTGGTATAACAAAAAAATCGAAATAAAAATTGATACATTTACTAAATGTTGGGCTATATTTAAAACTACTTGATAGCACAAATATGACCATTCGTGTTACAAAATTGCCATTTTTACATTGATGATTTGATGATTTCCTAGATCTGATTAGACCTAGATCATTTAATAATATATATATATATATATATATATATATATATATATATATATTCCGGATATTTCCCTATGGAAATAAATTAGCAGCTGCTTCTTGTTGGAAATGCCAATCTGAATTAAAGACACATCTGCTTGTCAGTCATTTTCTCCTGTAACAAAGCAGTTCAATTTTTTATTTAGATTATTTTAATTTTATCTAACATTAATTCAAAATATTAAAAAAAATAGATTCCATTAGGAACTAAATTAAAACATCTCGCATGTTAATTTATCAAAATAAAGTTATGATATATGATTTCATTGTTCAAGGGTTAACCATTTAGAGGAAATCGGTCATATTCATCCCACTTGAGTATCGGCATTAAAAAGACTATAGACGCTTTTGTTCGCTTTTATAGTACTCTTATACATAAAGGAAAATAAAACAAGATTTAGAGTGAAAGATCTGATTTAGTGGATTCGATATGTCCCACTGTTTATTCCAGCCAGCAATGATGATTGGAATACAGTGTTGTTTATTTAAAAAATAATTAAATTTAGTAATTATGATTTTTTTTTTTGCAATTGTGTAAGGAGTCTATTAACTAATACACAATGTAACTCTAAAACAATTGAAGTCATTTTTTTTACGTGCAGAAAATTTATTAATAATTTAAATTTGTTGTTGCTAATATTTTTTCAATATTTTAGTGGTATTTAGTAATACTTTTTGTTTATAAGTACATTAGTATTAGCTTAAGTATTTGATGTATTTAATTTTATTATAAACTTTTTTTTATAATTTCAATTTGATTGTTGATAAATTTTATCTAATGATTGTGTATTTTTATAATTTGTGCACAATATTAAAATCAGCAATCGAATTATTTCTCCTAATTTTTCTAAACAATAATCTATAAATAATTAGAT